TCATTTCCATTCTATCAAACTGCCCCAGAGGATGGACGAGAAACCATAATGAAATACTTGTATACATTTAATAGCCAAAAATCAGTTATATATGGTTAATATTAATTAAAAATATGTAGCTTTCACGCTTGCTACTTAAGTATAGTTTTTGGGTGCTTGTATGGGCTATTCCACATTTCCGATTTGTTTAATGTGAAGTAGCAAATGAGAAACAAGTAGAGGAAAGGGCAAGAATTGAGAAATGCTCGACATATGTTTTCTTTGGTAGGAAGAATGGAAGAGGTTAGAAAAGAGACACGTAGAATTACTGTGGAGTCAATATCATATAAAGTAGGAGTAGATTTGTGGATATAATAAAATTGAAAATTTAAGACCTACCAAATTTATTAGTTGAAAAGCTTACCATATAGCCATGTATCAAAATAAACAATAAATAAATTATAAATTTTGGTGTATCTCAACATTATGTTAAATACAGTACCGGTGAAGCAGAAAAGAAGTTTCACTAACAAATTGTCACCTTTATAATCTATTGTCCATTAATTAACTATATATAATTCATTTCTTATTCAAAAGAGTGTGCTCCGAAAAGCCAAAATATGGTATAACAATACAATTTTAAGACTAAGCACCTAATTAATTATCTACTTTGTGCTGGTAGTTAATGGGTAAGAATTAAGTCTCCCTTCTTAAGTCTCAAATGAGGAAAAAATAATCTGTCCATCGTCATTATAACTCTTAACTGAAATTGTTGTTGAGGTATAGGACCGTCGACAACATTCCGGGTTTGTAACCTGAGGTGGGTTCCAAAGGAGTCTTGCTCAGGTGAGTTCCGATGCCAACAAAAAATAATAATAATAATAATAAATAAATAAATAAATGAGGGAGAAACAATTGATATCTTTCTTCTTCTTTTTACAAGGATCTGTTTCTAACCTATTTCGAGTGGAGACTAATCAGTAATTACTTCTTCTTTTTTACTTTTTACTTTTTACATGGAGCTGTTTCTAACCTATTTTGAGTCAATACTAATTAGTTTATCTCACCGCTCAGTTTAACAGAATCCAATCTCGGTTTGCAAAAATAAGCGCAGAATACAAGAGTTGTCAATCATCCAATTTTAACTGCAATATAAATATGGGATGTCCAAATTGAAAACTTTTTTGCCCAAACATGAATATGGAATGGCACAATATAAACATTCTACAACAAATTTCAAAATAATTGGACACGTGTATGATAATAAAATAAAGTATTATTATATACAAACAAAACTTTTGCTTCTCTCATTTTATTCATAAACAATTAATGGAATCGCTAATTTGAAAAATCATATATGATCCTTTTAAAAAATTAGTATATTTCTATTTATAAAAGCATAGTGAAATTATATAATATTACAAAAAGAAAAAATAAATAAAGACTGACAAATTTGACTTTGTAATTTCTTTTCGGTCATAAAATTATGTTGTATTTTTTTCTTTTCTCTCTCTCTCTCTCTCTCTCTCTTTTAATCCATGACATGCTTTAAAATTACATTTGGAACCTCGTCTTTTTTAAATGAATAACTAAAAAGAATATCCCACGAGCCAGAATGGGCTCGAGGGGCACTTGTTAGCTCATTAAATTTTATTTAATATTAAGCGAAAAATTAGTAAAAGTGAATAATATTCCAACCCCGTGTATAAAATTCCAACTCCACCCACTATATTTTATTTTTCTACAAATCTCTTTAATTATTCATATATTTTCCTTCTCACTTCTTAAAATATATATATTTTTTATTCTCTTCAAAGAAATTTGCATTTCTTTTTTTTAATTAAAACTTATTTTGTCCTTCTTCAAAGTTCTCTCGTAGTTATTTATTTATATTTTTTTCTTCTTCAAATTTTTTTTTTTTTTTTTAAATTTTTACATTCATGTGTGATTTATGTGCAATAACCTTCTTTTTTCATCTTCTTATTTACTTTTTATTCATTTAAGAATTTATCACTGAAATTTCATACAATTAGGTTATGTTTTGTGAATTTTTTGTTTTGTGTTTTTGTTGGCAAATTGATGAAAAAGATAAATAAATTACAAAAACACTAATGCACTGTTATTACATTAATGAGCATTACCAGCAATAATTAGTAGAGTGCAAACCCGCTGTGTGTATATTTGAGTTCTCTTCCCAAAATGAATACTAGGGAGTACTTTTTGACTTGTTGCATTATTATTTGAAAAATTATTTTTAGTCAAGTTTAATATTCCTCCCAACCAAATTTGTGACTCCATCCCTGATCCTATCGCGTTTCAAACGTGTTGTAAATGTATCTCTTACTTGTTTGTACCCAAGGATTCATGCTTTGTTCAATAAATAATAATAATGATAATAATAATAGTAGTAATAAGAATAAAATACAGCCACATCCCCTGAAATTTGATACAAGGATATTCAAATTAAATTTATCTCTTTTTTGAACAAAACACCCTCTGAAGATTCAAAAATGAATAAAGATACCCTCTTATAGGAAAAATTGATTAAATTACCCTTTGACCGTTTAGGAGACTTTTTTAACTTTATAATTTAATAAATTGGACTAATCTAGCCTCGTGAACAATTTATGCATAAAAAAAGTAAAAAAGAAAAAAACTTTATATTGTTCACTTTTTTTTTTTTTTTTTTTTGTTATTTACTTTATAAACGTCCCAACTTCTTAAAAATGTAGACATTTAAAATGATTTTTTTGATCCAATACATATATTTCAAATAAATTATATTTTGTTATTACTTCTTTTCTTTTTCTTTTTTATTTTTAAATTAAGATGCTTAATTTTTTCATCTAAAAAAATTAAATCAATCTCTTTTCCTTAAAAATAAAAAATATGGTACTAGTATAACTTTATGCACCTTAAATTATATATCAAATATTATGTATTTCCCAACATAAAAGGGAAAAAAATAATAATAATAAAACAAAAGGAAAAATAATAATAAAACAAGGGGAAAAAAAAAAAAAAAAAAAAAACCAAAGGCATGCATAAAGTTAAGATGGTACCTATTTTCTTTTATGTTAGGAAATGCATAATATTTGATATATAATTTAAGATGCATAAAGTTATACTGGTACCATGTTTTTTATTTTTAAGGAAAATAGATTGGTTTAATTTTTTTAGATTAAAGAATTAACTATTTTAATTTAAAAATAAAAAAGAAAAAGAAAATAAGTAATAACAAAATATAATTTATTTGAAATATATGTATTGAATTAAAAAATCATTTTAGACGTCTACATTTTTAAGAAGTTAGGACATTTATAAAGTAAATAACAAAAAAAAAAAAAGAGTAAACAATATAAAGTTTTTTTTTTATGTAAAAATTATTCATGAGGGTAGATTGTTCAAATTTATTAAATTATAAAGTTGAAAAAGTCTTTTAAACGGTGAAATGATAATTTGGTCAATTTTTTATGTAAATGGGTGTCTTTATTCATTTTTGAACCTTCAAGGGTGTCTTTGTCCAAAAAATAAGTAAATTTCATCTAAGTATCTTTTTGTCAAACCTCTAATGGAGTGGCTGTACTTTACCCTTGAATTTAATATCAAGGGGTAATTTTGCCTTTTCATATGATTTAAGGCTTTGTTTTGATGAAATTTTTTCAAGAGGGTGTCATTGTTCCAAAATTGAATAAGTTTCATTTGTGCGTCCTTTTATCAAACCTAAGGGAGTGTTAACATACTTTATCCTAATAACAACAATAATTATACCTCCTCCAAAATATAAAACCCCTGTACTTGTCACACCCGCGTAGGATCCTGATGACATCAATGCTTTAGAGCTTTTAGCAAAGTACATAGTAGAGAAGGCCACCAAGAAAGAATACAGAAACATTATATAATGATAGTATTATGAAGTGATGTACATCTACCTAGTCAGATTCTGATAATGATGCACATTTGTTTACATATTTTTTGTCCCGTGAAGACAAAGTGCAAGAGATTTATAAGAATCTACAGCTAATTTTGGGTCATCTTAACATGAATTGTGATCAACAATTATTCTTGTGTTAATGATAATAATGCACACCACAATATTCTTTTGATGATTCATTATAAAGGTAGTACACAACTTAGTGCAAATTTCTGCTCCAAACATTTAAAATTGAAGGCACAATGATTCACAAAAATGGTGCCTTTACTTAATCATATTATATTACCGACATTGTGGATAAAACTACATGCTCCGTATATTACTTCAATGTCTCACCTTAGTTGATTCATTATTCAGTACTTTAGTTCATTTGATTTACTAAATAAGGTCATCACTGTATGACAATTTTGGTTGTTTCTGATAAGATGCGAAGATGATACATTTTATTAAATTTTAAGTGGAGGACATGATAAGATGAATGACCCAACTAAATAATGGTCTTAATTAACATTTAAACTAAAGTATTACTCAATAACCCATTTTTCAATAATTTTTATTCCTTTAATGCACCAAATGAGATCCATAGATCTCAACTATGGTATTAAAGAGATACAAATCTTTCTGATTTCCACACCTACACTTAAAAATTTATTATTAGTAGTATTATATTTGGTAATAAGGGTATCACATGCAAATTGTTTAAAAAATTGAAAAAAAAAAAAAAAAAAAACCAACAACTTTTAGAAACCACCAAAATAAATGCAAATATAAGTGATATTATACTCCAATAAAATCAAAAGTAATTTTGAGGGGACGGAGTAACGTTAATAGGGAATCAAGAAGTAATAAATTATTAAAATCTCACTTTTAAATCGCATTCATGGTATGATATGAACCGTGTGTGTATGTTATGATTTTAATTTGAAATTGCGTTTCTAATTTGAATAGTGTATAGATATATATATATATATATATATATATATGTGTGTGTGTGTGTGTGTGTTATGGTGCTCTAAATAATAATAATAATAATAATAAAACCAAAAGCAATGCGCGTACAAGAAATTCAGAATGTATGTACGAACGAACAATTGAAGTTGAGGGTTGAAGTAGGTGGTCGCGGGGCAATTAAGTAAGTTGCCACGAATCTTCCCACACCAGTTTCCTTCTCTGACTGTAACTTCAACTGAAAAAGTTGCCATGAAGCTTCTCAGACCCTTCCTACCATTTTCTCTCTCTGACTCTCACTTTAATTTTTTCAAAAACCTATTAGAGAGAGACAGAGATGAAGATATAATTGGTGGAATAGAACTGTATCTGCACTCATCGATTCCAGGGTCCCACTTTTGCCTGCCATGGTTAATGGGTATACACTGTTCCTTTGTTTGCTTTATAGATTCAATTAGATTTTGGTGAAAGAAATATTGTTAGGAGGTTATATATTCTTCTGGGTGTTCTTCATTTGGGTATTATCACCGTATAAATACACACACATTCATAATACATATATGTAGATTCAGTCTGGGTATTTCCAATGGCTGGTATGCTTCCTGGTGTTGAATCTGCTCGAAGGAGACGGTTTCATCAAAGTGGTGGATGGCCCGACTTACCTTCTATGTCTGGGACAAGGCGATCATCTTTTTGTTTGTATGCAAGCAACCATGAATCACATCTCAGCTCAAGCTCCTTCCAGGTACCAATTTTAAGGGACCCCTCTCTCTCTATAAATTATATGTATATAATATATATTTTTAATGAATATTACTAAAATTGAATTGCATACCCAATACAATTGACAGCAAAGAATCACAATAAACCAGGCAAATCAGGATGAGAAGCTTGGAGGAGCTGCTAGAGAAGCCAAAGATAGGTTAGATAAGAGGCTCAGAGCAGCTCAATTGAAACCAGAAAACAAGAGGTAATCAATCTTCTACCGTTCTTGGCGCACGATAGCAGTACCACTAGGTCCCGTGCTAACATGCGCCATGCTGGGTCTCAATTTCCCCCCGTCGCATTTAGTTGATCGATGACCATTGTACAATGGCACCTGGCGCATTTTAGCGATGCCAGTATGGTCCTTGCTAACATGCGCCCCGGTGGGTTCAGAATGTGGAATGAAGCTTAAATATTGATGATTGATTAATGAACCCCCCCTAGAGTTGTTATATATATTTGTTCTTAATTGCTTTTCATTTTGTCATGATTGAATTGAATTCAGGGAAATAAGCCAAGAAAGCTTGATGGGCGGTATGGATGATGGGCGTATGGTGGTAGGGGATTTGCAGAAAGAGGTGTTTGGATTGAAGAAGAAGAAGAGTAGTAGGTCTAAGAGATTCAGTTGGGCAAAGTTGGGGCGGAAGGGGTGTGATCAAGACGAGTGTGTGGTTTGTTTGGAACAATTCAGGGCTGGTGAGACCCTGCTGCACCTGCCCTGCGCCCACCGCTTCCATTCCCAGTGTTTGGTGCCATGGCTCCAGAACAATGCTCACTGTCCTTGTTGCAGAATGGGAATTTTCATTTGAAACTTTATTTTACAGTATTATTCACTCGTGTTATTTTCCTATGTAGATTACAGAAGAAATTTACAAAATCTAGTTTCCTTATAAATTAATTAGTGAGGAAACATGAGAACTTGAAAGGAAACCAAATTCTCACAGTCCTTTTGCTGCAGCAGAATGAGAATTTGGTTTTGATTTGGACTTTGGTAAGAGTATGATGCACCATTATCAAATTCTAATTTTGTTGCATGGACGTAATGCATAGAATCAGATTCACCAAAACCAACAATATGGTAAGACCATTGACCCAATTTGTGCATGTTTAACCAAAATCAACCAACAGATGAGGAGTGACACGGAGTGATTCTCCTTTTGAGTCCCAAAGTCATATCAGATCCCAATAGTAGGCTAGTGGAGGCAATTGTCCCACTAATTTTTTTCCTTTTTGTATTATATAGTTATATACCAACTAATTTTAGAACAATTTCAATGGACCGCTATTTTTAAAATATTGTGAATTGAAATGGGTTCTTTAATGGCATGTCAAATGGGACGAGGAATGCTAATTGCACTCGCGCAAGCGACTGTCCATTCACAGTGAATTGGTTAGTTTTGAATGCATTAATGACTTTTTAAGACAAAAATACCTTTTTAAATTATGTCTTTCTTCTTATCTCTCTTTTAATCGATTTATATAGAGATGTGTGCGTATGTATGTGTGTGTGTATATATAATAATAATAATAACAACAACAACTAATGTGATATGAATGGATGCTGAAAAGTGAGGAAAAAAAAAAAAAAAGTTAGATAAGATAATCCATTCACAATAAATAGATCCTGAAAAAAAAAAAAAAAAAAATAACAAGATAGATTCTGAGATTTAAAATATATATATACAAAATTAGTTTTATGCACGTATATATTTCTTTTTTGGTGAAGGAATTATTTCCTTTTCTTTCATTTCCTTTTTTTTTTTTGTATAAATTCATTAATACAAGGATAGTTGTAAAAATTAAAAATAAAAACAAAAAGAAACATATATATATATATATATATATATATATATATATATATATATATAGGAAAAAACAAAAAGGAAGAAATATATAATCGATTTTTCTTTTTACCTTTCTTTTCATTCTTTTTGGATTTTTTTGCTAACTCTATTTTTTTTTTTTCTATCACATAACTAACCACATATACTCGATGAAAGATTAGATAATTTAAAATGACATTTTTGTCTAAAAAATAATGTTAGTAGAGTCCCATAAAAATAGAATCTCAAACTAATTAATACATTTAAAACTAACCTATCATAACTGGCTGTGAATGGATGAAAATAAGGCACTCCAATGGATTCTCAAATGACCTATCATATTTTGAGATTGTCAAAAATTAATAAAATAAAAATAAAATACTCCAATGGGCTCTAAAAATATGAAATCGTTATTGTGTTAACAAATAACATTTTGAATGAAATATATCATGGGAGTCAGAATTACAAAAATATAATATTTTGAAACTTTAATTCCTCTTAAAATATAAATTTGATATGAAAATATATCATTTTGCATTGGAATTGCTTAATATAAAATTATTATTAAACTCGACACATGACGATCAGACATGAGGAGTAATTGACACGAAATGATCTAGTAACATGATGACAAACAATGGTTCGCCTATCATTCCATCTAGGCGGCCACACTTTTGTGAGAGTCGCATAAAATATGTTTGGTCTATCGATTATCGGAAATGATTCAAACTCTCTCCCAAATGCATGAGCAAGAGCTTGACAACTCAAATCCACATCTCTCTCTAACATCAGACAGTCTCTCTTTGTTCGAAACCTCACAGCACCTTCTTCTTCCTCTCTAATCTAACTGTCACATATACGTATACATTGTATAAAAAGATACACACGTCATACATTTAGTTATTGTTGCATTCTCGTACAATTCATACAATGCAACCCAAAACCCTAACCCTAGCTCCACCACCAGGTCTCAACCTTTTCCCATCCCTCAAACCCCCACACAAAACCCTAATTTTCTACCAAGCCTCAGTCCTCCTCATCACCTTCATAGCCTACGCCTCCTTTCATGCCTCTCGAAAGCCTCCTAGCATTGTCAAGATCGTGCTCGGACCCGAAATCCGATTCGAAAACGCCACATCTATACAATCAGATGAAAACCCAATTGGCACCGACACTGGTTGGGCTCCATTCAATGGATCGAACGGTCCACACCGGCTCGGCGAGCTAGATCTCGCTTTTCTATCTGCCTACTCAATCGGGATGTTCTTTGCAGGACATATCGGTGATCGGATCGATCTCCGATTATTTTTGACAATTGGAATGTTGGGTAGTGGTTTCTTCACTGTATTTTTCGGGTTAGGGTATTGGTTAAATGTCCATGTTTTTGGTTTTTTTGTATTGGTTCAGATTGTGTGTGGATTTTTTCAGTCAATTGGGTGGCCGTGTGTTGTTGCTGTAGTTGGGAATTGGTTTGGGAAGTCAAAGAGAGGGTTGATAATGGGGGTTTGGAATTCACATACTTCAGTTGGTAATATCATTGGTTCAGTTGTGGCATCTTCTGCGTTAAGTTTTGGGTGGGGCTGGTCTTTTGTGTTGCCTGGGATTTTGATTATGGTGATGGCAATTGTGGTGTTTTTGTTTCTAGTTGTGAATCCAGAAGACATCGGAGTTGCATTGCCAGGAACTGAGGTTGAGATGAATGTAGAGGGGATATCTTTGATTAATTCGGTGAAAGTTGAATCCGAAGAAGTGGGACTCCAACCATCTGAAAATGTGGAATCTTCAGCTGCTATTGGGTTCTTTGAGGCATGGAGGTTGCCGAGTGTGGCACCTTTTGCATTCTGTCTCTTCTTCTCGAAACTTGTGGCTTACACCTTTCTATATTGGTTGCCTTTCTATATTAGACACACAGGTATTTTATATTTGTTTTACTTGCATTTGATTGTAAAATTAGAATGTGAATATTTGAGTGAGTTAATTTTCCTTTATACCAAATCTGGTTGTTCACTATACATCTATGTTGCAAAAATAAGATGTTTATACAAATTGGATAACTCACTTTTTGTTTCATATGTTTGTGAAATTGAACTATGTGGGTGTACTTGGCTGTCCCATAAAATTTAGATTGCTCTGTTGTGTTCTGCATGACACTTGAAGGTATTAAGACCTTGGAGAATTTTAGAACCATCAGCAAAGTTAATGGTGTGGAATCACTTTCATGATTTCGTGAAATGCCAGTGTCTCAAATTTTTTCCATCAGTTGTGCTGATGAGTGATGACTTTGACAATATGCAATGAAAAAGTAAACACCATAGACTAATTCAAGTTCTGTAGGACATCAAAATGCACCATACTAGTTCAATCTTATTAGCATCCATTCATTTGATTAATTTATTGGTAGAAGCGGTGGATATTCACTATATGTTTTTGTTCTTTTGCAATTGAAGCTGTTGCGGGTGTGCATTTGTCGCACAGAACTGCTGGGATCCTTTCTACTATATTTGATGTTGGAGGAGTCATTGGGGGAATTTTGGCAGGATACGTTTCTGATATGATTGAAGCTCGTGCTGTTACATCACTGGTGTTCTTGTTGCTATCTATTCCCGTTCTCATTTTTTACCGCATTTATGGAAGCGTGTCTATGTTCACCAACATTGCATTGATGTTCCTCTCTGGATTGCTTGTGAATGGACCATACTCACTTATTACAACTGCTGTTGCGGCTGACCTCGGTACGCAGAGCTTGATTAAAGGGAATTCCCGTGCATTAGCTACCGTGACTGCGATTATCGATGGTACTGGTTCTGTCGGGGCTGCTCTTGGCCCACTTCTAGCAGGATATATTTCAACTAGAGGATGGAACAGTGTGTTTTTTATGCTTATTCTCTCTATTTCTCTTGCGGGCTTGTTCTTGATTCATGTTGTCAAAACTGAGATTAAAGGGAAGCAGAATGAGGGGAAATGGCTTTGGTACGGCATAACTGCTCATTAATGAGGAATTTTATCAAGGCATCACAACATCAGTGATTCCTTCTTTGTACTTCATATGATGATGGCTTTCACACAGCAAACAGGAGTTCGGTGGAGGACTTCCTCAAACATAAATGTATGCCTTCTTGTATCTTATTGAGAAAATAGATTTCATACAGCAAACAGGACTTTGATGGAAGATTTTTCCAGCTTCCATTCGCGCATGTCCTTGTCGCAATTTACTAGAGATGCTTTTATACAACATACAGGAGTTTGGAGGACTTTCTCGGACCACAATTCGTGTACATTTTTTTGTTCATTTACCATACACCCTTTGTGTTCTTTGTAAATTTTCCATTTATTTCAAAAAGAATTATCCTAATAAAATAGATCTGAGTTCCTGCTCGTGTTATCCTACTTTTCACTATATTGCTATGTCATATTTCTTTTTCCTCTCAAAAGCTATCTCCATAAACAAATTTGACATTAGCAGGATTTAAGATTGTCTGATTGATTTAGAATTCTTACATTGCTTTTTATAGGCTCCGCAATTTGTGCTGCACTTCTAGCTTCTTGCACCATTTTAAGCTCACGTGTTTCATCTCACGTGTAATTGTAAATTTCCAGTCAACTGATGATATGCACCATACAAAGCTAAAAGCAAAACGTAAATAACACCACTTTGTTAAGCATTATGCATGTTATTAATCAGATAATTATATGTTTTTAAGACATGGTTCTTCCATTTATATCACACTCACTCGTTAAAAGTTATTGTTTCGCAGTTGCGTGCTATAGCTCCGGTTATTTATTGTGATTGGGTGCCTTGTAAGAATGATAAGAGGATATCAATTGCAGTCACCAACTTCTTGGGTCATTTGACTCCGAGTGTTTCCAGAAATGGATGGATACCCAGAGAAAATGAATTTGTTCTTGCTAGCGTCTGTGATTGTCTTTCTAGAAGAATATCTGATGTGCAACTTCTACGTCAAGAAATTAGTTTCTTCAATCAAGTTCTGTTTGCTTTAGCTTGTTAACCTTGAGCAGCAAAAAGTATTTAGCTTTGCAGGGGTCCTTGTGATCAGTGACGTCAAAAGCTCGGATTGAATACGGGGCTGGTGTTCGTATGAGCTTGTTTGAGCCATGATAGAAGACTCCTGGAAGACTGAAGGCTGTAAGGACACTTGAAAAGCAAAGCTTGGTGACTAAAAGCTCTATTATGTGAACATGGTGATTCCATCGCCTGCATGTTAGCAGAAACCTTGAAGACAAGCTGTTGGGTCACATAATTTGTTTGATCCTTGACATAGGTCCGTCTTGTAAATGGAAACTTGTGCACATAAGAAACCACCAGTGCAGTAAACATGTTTCATAGGACTGCCCTTTGTCTCAATAGATGCAGTATGTGTATCTACAATAAGTAAATATATGGTGGCAACATGCGGAAACACTCGAGAAGGTAAGCGGGAATAGAAAGGTAGATATACTTGGTTGCTAATGTCATTTTTTTCCATTTTTATGTGATTCTTATTTGGTTATAGGCTGTTTATGGTTTCTTGTATAAAGCCTTTTTCTTTGTAGAAATTCTTTTCTGAATTGGGAAGGAGTCAGTGATTTGAGATCCTCGTCATTCACATTTATAATAGTATATGATAAGGAGATCATCAGTTGTTTGAATTTTTATGTATTTTGAATGCATCCTTTTTTTTCTTTTTTCTTTTTTTCCATTGTATTTCGGAGAGGTTCATTCATAACACAATCAAAGATGTATCCACTCGGTATCTTTTTCCATTATTTTAGACAAGAAATGATTTCTACGATTTTTGTTGAAAAGCCTATACTTTGTTTTTATTTTTATGTGAAATATGACAATCGAGCAAGAGGTACTTCTAACACGAGAACTGTTTGGTGCGAGGGAAAGTGTGAAAATGTTCTTAGAAGTGGGATTCTGCGCTAGATTTATGGATTCTTTTGAATCAAATTGATAAAAGTAGCTTGAAAAAGTTGAAAGGAATCACACATACATTATCTATCAAATACAAAGTGAAGAAATGCACATTAATAATAAAATATGAAATCATATAAACGGACAGGTAAGCAAAGGTTTGGAACCAGCATCGGAGTCCAAATTAAATCCATCTTATTTAACAGACGAGAGAAAAAAATTCTTCGAGGAGGCCCAGATTGTTGTGGGAAAGGATATGATTGGCCTTAGATAATGGCATTGAAAAGTTGCATATAGATGGACATCTGGTTGCTTTTTGTCAGAACAACAACCACATCCTGAGGCATTGAAAAGTTGCAGATTGATGGACACATCTGATTGCTTTTTATCAGAGTAACTACCACATGCAGGATGAAAAGAACACAGATAAGTTCCTAATTAAGTAATTAATAACTACTCACATTCCTTGAAAAATGATGAATTTAAAGTTCTGGCATGTACGAATAGTGAAATAATCAACAAAGGACCATATAATTTGAATCACAAGTATCTATTTACAAACTATGGTCTCTGCCCAAAAGGTAGAGCAAGGTTTCCTTCCTTTTCTCCCATCTTCTGACAACCAAGCGAATCATTATTATGAAGAATGTTGTTCTATCAAATAAATTTATATAAAATGGTACCTGATAGAACATACAACCACCACCATCAATCGTCGTCATCATCTTCACCAGCTAAGAAGCTGTGCCTACCAATTATAGAGAAAAAGTATTTGGAAAAAAAAAACAATTTGACTTTTATCCTTCTAACAGAAATTTGAGATTTTGAAGTCCCTCAGCAGAGATGCTCCTTCTAACTCTTGGTCTTGGCACGGTCACTCGGGGAGGCGACTCTGAATGAAAACACACCATCACGACTGTCAGATTGTCTATTGCTCCCCGCTTTAGTGCTTCTTCTACTAGTTCCTTGCAGCACAATTTCACGTCATTGTGCTCTTGGAGTTTTCTCCGGGCAAAGTCCACTGCATTTTGGCTTCTAAACGCATCCCAAATTCCATCACTACCGATTATCAAAAACTCGTCTTCCTTCGTTAGTGTAATCAATTTAAGTTCTGGCACAGCACTCAACGGCCCACTCCTTTCACCAGTTTCTTTCAGTCCTTTTATGTGCCAATCACCTAGCGCCCGGGTTACACCCAACTGGCCATTCAAATATCCATCATCAATGAATCCACCCAGTGACTCGATCCTCATCCTTTCATTGTCACAGCAAGGCCTGTGATCTTTTGACATTTCTATAGCCAATCCACGTCGAGATAGGACTGCCCGACAATCTCCAGCATTTGCCACAAGTAAAGATCTGTCCACCACGAGATCATATTATTTAGCAAATGCATGAACAACACACACTGCTGTTTCTCATTTAGAAAGTCATCACAAAGATACTACTAAAAGAATGAGCTATGCATCCTCATCATTTTTGCATGAAAAGATGCATTAAATATGCAGAGAAGGGAATAATTTTACCAGTCCAGAAAGATCACGGAGATTTTGGGCCTAATGGCTTAATGTAATGGAAAATCTTCAATAGATTTAGTTTTCCAACTCACCCACCAACCCTTAACTAGTGTGTAATATCAATTACTATTAGTTCAATACCACAAGCCCATTTACCCATAACTCTAACCTATAAGGAAAACAGACGGCCAACCAATACTGAAGAATGGGAGAACCTCACCTGCCAAATATCATTGCAGTGAGAGCAGTTGTGCCAGAAGATAGAGCAGACTCGAGAGAGCATGACTTCGCAAAGGCAGCATCTGTTTCCATGAATGACCTTGTGACAATTTTCTCAAGTTCTAAAGGGAAATTGGCATCCTCAACAATCACCCTAGGTAAATGGTCACGGACAAATTGTGCTGCAAACTTTCCTCCATGCCCATCGAATACCTGTTATTAAAAACAAATGCTAATTCAGAAGTCTTTAAATGAATGCCTTTAAAAAATTCTTGGTGTGTGTGATGCTTTTTTATTTTCTTTTTACCTGATTTTACCAATCCCATCAAATTCTAATAATTGAATAAGTGGGAAAACTACAAGTTTAAGTTTGAGTCAGAGTTATACTCTCTCAACAGCAAATCAGATATTATATATTTTTTTTTGATAAATAAAATTTTATAGAAGTGCTCAAAAGGAGAGCGAAACCCAAGAGAAATACAAAAAACCACAAAGGGCCTCTTAAGCTTTCAGAGAGGCCAAAAAATCAACAATCTCCTCTAAAGATCTATGATCTCCCCCTGAAACTCAACAAAAAGGAGTGGAAAGAATCGAGAATTTAAGCACCGAAAACGACATCGCCTTCCCTTCAAAATATCTCCTATTCCTTTCAAGCCAAATACACCACCACACACAAAGCGGCGTAGCCCTCCACGAATCCTAAATGTGAGCCCCCACAGGGCAACCTCTCCACGCCTCAATCAACCCTCTAGCGGATCCAGGCATAACCCAAAAAAACCCAAATAAGCCAATCATCAAATCCCAGCACTCTCTAGCCATAGTGCAATGAATGAGAAGATGATCCACCGTTTCCTAATCACAAATCAGATATTTCATGACGAATTATGTTTGTAATTTCTTTTTTTTTTTTTACAATTGCAGAGACTGAAGAGAAAGGGCAAACCTTTACTATTCTGCTAATTTAAGTGACTATTTAACGCTATTAATTTTAGGCATTAAAACAACAATTTTCACTAAGGAGACATAAATAACTAAAAAGAGGAAAAGTACGAAAATCGTTACTAAAAATAATTATACCTTGTACCATACAATCTGGATAAAATAAAGCCAAAATCATGTACAGTAAAGGAAAATTCATCTTTACATTTGTTTTTATTGTAATTTTGAATTTATAGAGTTTTGATATCATCACACTTTTCCCATGATTACAAACTTAAGTAAAGTGTTAACTAACTTGTAAAGACAGAACAACTTCAGAGTTCAAGGCTCAATCATACTGGTGACTCAACCCATCTACTTGGTGCCTACTAAGGGAGAATTAAATATACAAGTACCCCCTAATTTAAGAACTTAGTAAGGCACGGTCTTATTAATTTATAATTGCTAACTTATGTAACTACCCAGTTCTATTTAACTTTAGAAATTGAAACAACTTAATAGCATAAAAGACTTCTTAGTAGTACCAACGGGCCAGTGGCCTAGCCGTATCAGCTTCTTACCTCCCAAAGGGAGTTCAGGAGTTCAAATCTCAGAAGAGACAAGTGTGTGTGAGTACCAACTTGAAAAAAAAAAAAAAAAAAAAAAAAAAGACTTCTTAGCAGTATAATGATGATGGATTGTATCTTTATCAAGGTAAAATTTCTTCTAAATTCTCAACTTTCTGGATTATTAAACATGTATGATGAGAATAAATGTGAGGATGCAATTTAGTGATAAAGCCACCTCACTTGTATTTTGAGGCTAATTTTAATACATAAAGAAAGCTAATCAACCAGACAACCACAAAACACAAAAAACGAACAATTCGTTTAAAAATTTCTTATCAAAATAAAATAAAATAAAAAAACAACAGTACTACCCAAAATGACTTCACTAAGTAATTCATCACAATATTGGGAAGGGGTGGGATGGATTCTCTAAACACATTAGATTTCGACTCAAGGATGGTAGGAGGATCACTTTCTAGGAGGACGTCTGGTGTGGTGACCGCTCTCTTGCTCTCGCTTTCCCCCGACTCCTCAAGATTGCCACAGATAGGCAGGCCATGGTGGTCGACTGTTATCGGCTTGATAGCGGGAAATCGTCTTGGAATGTTCGTTTTAGGAGGCACTCTCAGGATTGGGAAATTGAGGATGCCATTGGTTTTTTAGTGTTGTTGTATCGTCAAGAGATCACGGGTGGTGTTTCTGATTGTTGGGTCTGGCCCCTGTTTCTCAGGGCCGGTTTGATGTTTGGTCCTTCTATAGGTGCTTCTGGGGCTTCCTTTCCGTGGACGGCTCTTTGGCGTTCTAGGGCTCCCCTTAAGGTGGCCTTCTTTGTTTGGACATCTGTTTTGGGGAAGATTTTGACCCAGGAAATTAGAGGAGAAGGAATCAGGTTGTGATCAACTGCTGTTGCATGCGTCTTCGTGATGAGGCGATGGTGGATCACCTCCATTTGCATTGCACCATAGCTAGAGATTGTTGGGATTTGACGTTTGGTTTGTTTGGAGTTCTGTGGGTCATACCCAAATCCCCCAAAGGGTTAAATTGAGGCTTGGAGAGGTTGTATAATGGGGGCCCAAGCCCGGGATGTTTGGAGAGTTACGCCTTTGTGTGCTTGGTGGTGTATTTGGCTCGAGAGAAACAAGAGATCTTTCGAAGGAAAGGAGAATCTTATTTTTATGCTTAAGTTCTCTATTATTTCTACTCTTTTTGTTGGGTTGTAGGGAGATTTTATAGATTTTTAGAGGAGACGGTCGATTTTTTGGGCTCCTTGAATGTCTAGAGGCCCTATTTGGCCTTGTGTAGTTCTCTTGGGGTGTGCTCCCCTTTTGAGTGCTTTTATACAATTTTACTTGTCTAAAAAAAAAAAATTAATTCATAAGATTAACCCAATAACTAATTACTTGTGTGGATGTCATTATAAACAATAGACAATCAGAGTAGGTTTAAGAACTTACACCATAGAAGGAAATGGCTTCCTCACCAAGTAAATTGTAACCAAAATTCTTTGCTAGATCTGTAATACATATGTGAGTATCCTCCATATAAGAACGACCTCCAATGTCAGACCACTCTCCAGACCGAAGGGCAGGGATGAAATTATTCAAAAGGTTCTGTTTTTTGTCTGCGACTGTAGAATCCTCACAAATGCTTTCCAGCTGAAAAAATCCAAGAGATAAAATTTAAAAGGTCACAATCATGCAGCTAATCAGCAGTAGATGACTATTTTCAGAGACAAATGCTGATTATTAGAATTTCGAGGGTAGACTGGCTAGTATTGGCTGAGTGACAAAACTAAGTGGTGCTCGGGAGTTCTACAATCTAATTTCCCAATGCAAAAGGGAGCCTGAGTGAATTTATTTTGAGAAAGCAGCTCTTAAAGTTTCAACAAGAGCCCCAAATTAATTAGAAAAATGAATGCAAACAGTGTCACAAAAAATATTAGTTATCTCAATAGATGTAAAGCTCTCAATCATTCACTTCATGTCACTTCATCTCATGGATGGTAGAACTTGCCTTAAATTGAATTTTACGAAGGAAACGAAATAAAGATAAGTAGATCTTTTGGCTCATAAAATTCAATTAAGGAACCAAAAAAGATGCAAGACATAACTCTCCAGATGGTCAACACTGTTGAAGAACTTCATCTCCTAACAATACCAGCCAAAATTTAGAAAAATAATAATAATAATAATAATAAATATGATTGAAGTATCACAAGTCATAACATGATTTTGTGAAGAAACAAATACATAAATCAGAATGAAAGGTCAAAAAAGCATTTAAAAACAAGGAAAATGAACAATAAGAAGAAAGCAGAAGCGTAAATATCTCACATCCAAGAAAGTACAATTCAGGAAGAGTAATTTCACTAATACTGAACTAATAACTCACACATAACAAATACAATTTCGATTAGTGAAGAGACTAAATAATCCCAGAAGACATCAATTAGGAACTAGTACAAACTAAAAGAACCTAAATTATATAACAACTAATTAACTAATTTCGATTAGTGAAGAGACTAAATAATCCCAGAAGACATTAATTAGGAACAAGTACAAACTAAAAGAACCTAAATTACATCTCAACACACACAAGCAAAGAAGAAGAAAAGGAAAAAAAAAAAAAAAAAAATCATTAAGAAAACAACAGTATCAGTTTTCAATCTGACAAGAAGGAAAAATATAATAATTCATGACAAAAACCCAGTTCCAAACATCAATAATTAGATTTAAAAGTAAAAAAATAAAAAGAAGCAGATTTCCAGAAACGATTAGGACCAAATGGGTCCTCAGATTAAAGAAAAAAAAAAAGGAATGAAAAACTAGGCGATCGAAGCATTAATTTCTTACGGGAAATGAATTTCCGAGAGCAAACTGATCACAAGAAGCTTCATTTTCCCAATTCTGAATCTGGGCATGAAACAATTCAGATTGCAAAGGCCAAGTCTTGTGGTTTTCTTCATGCTCAGAGAAACCCAGATTGTCCATTCGTTCAGAAACTTGTTCTGAGTCCTGCAGGCACATGGTAGTTTCAGTTTCTAAGCAACTTGTGGGTTTTCACAAGCACAGAGAGAGAGAGAGAATATCAGAAAAATATCAAATTTGCAAAGTCAGAATATGTTCGAATAATATATATATATGGAGGCTCTATTAGTCAGTAGTTTATAGAGAGGGAGTGCTTAGGGGGAGGAGGAGAGAAAAAATTCTAGAGAGAGAAATAGCAGGAGCCGTTGAGTTCCAGATTTTTCTATGAAAGCGTGGCTGTGAGCACTGTACTTTGGTTAGATGCGATTTTAAAAAATGTCGGTCATTAAGACTACTAAGCATGCCAACATACCAAATTACTAAATTGCCCTTTAATATTTCCTTTCTATTAGCATTATTTTTCTGTCCCATTGAATGTGATTTCTAACACTACTCCCTCCCACAATCAGTGTTCTTTGGATCTTCCAACTTTTCAGTGCACGTTTCTGTTTAAATTTCCAAAATGTATTTTTTACATTTAGTTGCTCAAAAATATTCCTTTAATTTGGTTTAGGATTCTCTAAATTTAAAGGTATGTTATGTTAATATAATTTATGAATTTTTCAAAAGTTTTAGGATAATTTATTTACAACTTACATTTTCAACATTAACTTTTTTTGAGTAGACACTAAACAGTTATTTTTGGAGATCTTAAAATGAAAATATGTACACTTACACTTTTGCGTTAGTGGAGGTGAATGATAGTTGGTGTTATAAGTTCGGATCAATAAATATGAAGATATATGAAGGGATGGAGCCAAGAATAATCTAATTAAGTTAGGGTTTGACTGAGAAAGGGAATGTAAATTTATTTTGGGAGTGATATCCGTATTCCACTTTTTAATATCTGCACTATAATATTAAATGAAATGGAAATTCTAACATTAACTTTACAACTAAATAATTATTACTTTTTAAATTACACAACTGCCCTTTTAAATTTTCTCTCCCTATCTCTAATATTTAATATTTAAAGTATATTTTGACAACACAAATAAAATAAAATAAAATAAAAATTGAATAATTTTTTTTCTAAGGGACCAATTTTTTATTTTTATTTATTTTTTGTTAAATTGAATAAATTGTCTCTTTTTACCGGACCAAAAAAATAAAAAGTAACTATTAAAAAAATTATTTAAGTATCAAAAAAGACATGTGTGTGTGAGTACCAATTAGAAAAAAAAAAAAAAAACAAAATTATCAAAAATATATATTTAATGAAGAAATTATCTCTGTTGTCAAGATCCAAATAATAATAATAATAATAAAATACAAAAAGAAGATGATTAAAAAAAAATTATCTCTATTGAATAAAGGAGGTACTCACTAGTGACGATCTATAATATAATTAGCGTTGATATGAACCACGAATAAAATTATCTCTTTTGATAAGACCAAAAATAAAAAGTTATTTTTATCAAATAAACTATTTCTTTTGACTTACCAAAAAATAAAGTTACCCCTTTTGACAGGAGCCAAAAAAGTTAATTTTGTTGAATAAATATCGATCTCTTTCGATAAAAAAAAAAAAGTTATTATGGAATAGATTATCCCTGTTGACTGCCAAAAATAAAATTATTAGTATGGAATAAATTATTTTTTTTGAGAGGAAAAAATAAAAACAAAGGAAAAAAATAGTAAAAAAAAAAAAAGAGAGTTAAAAGTTGTATAAAGGGTAGTTATAAGATTATAAATTAAGATCGTGCATTAATGAATTTAAGAACTTTTTGGACATTTTTTTTAAAAGAAAATGATAAATAAAGTGCAATTGGAGAAAAATAGAGTGCAAATATCATCTTTCTTTATTTTAAGTGAATAATAAAAAATAAAAAATAAAAATAAAAATTTAGGTACATTTTGTAAATTTATATATATATATATATATATATATATAAAATAAATAAAAAAAGATTAATGGGCCAGCTGGCTCTACCATATATACAAGTTTTAGTTTGAGTAATCCAAAACCAGATTTTGTCTCACTAATAATTCATTTTTGTATGACTAATGTAAATTTTTAAGATGAAAGTAGTAAAAAAAAAATGATATAGTCCGTAATAGTATGCAGATATGGAACAATAAAATGACTTGCAAGACTAGAATTATGATATTTTTTGTGTTATTTTTATCATGTGAACAATTTTATATTTACAATTTCAACTACATAACTATGTTAATTAAATTCTCTATTTAAGTATAACTGTATGAGTGTGATATATCCTCAATATAAATATTTTGTATATATATTTTTTAAGAGTAATGATAGGAGAATCGAAAAGGAATTCCCGAATTAACATTGAATTTAGCGTAGTTGGCTATACTTATCACGTGTTAAATAAATGAGGTGAACAAAAACACATCAGATTCAAAATTTATTCGAAAAAATCATTCCATAATCTTATCATTTTTCATTTTTTAAAGTTACTATATATGTGTTGTATTTTGTGAACTACTAACTATTTTGCACTAAATGAGCGTGTATGATCTCGTGATTGAACCTCACCTTCGTGCAAATGGTATATAACTTTAGTATATTCCATTTAATTAGTTCTTTTATAGGAACAATAAATAAATAAAAATAAAAATAATGATGAAAAGTCAAATGATTCGTCTACTCTGTATATCAATCAAATTTATTATTATTATTATTATTATTATTTTTGTCAAATAGTGTGCTCTGTCTAAAAACATTTATTAAACTATTATGAAGGGTGATTCAATCTATAAAGATTAGAACCAAATGGCTATATTATTTAATTTTTTGAAACATGGAATAATATGTTCGTTAATATCATTATATGTTATGTGTGTTTGTTCTTCACCAACGATGATTAATATTGTTGTTAGTCATTGCATCATCGATAATTGTTAAAGACTTTAGCAAGTTAATCATAACTCCATTTATGTTATCACATAAATTCTGATAAAAGGTTATTTTTAATATCCTTAAATGTTCTTTGTATTTAAATTTCATTTTCTTTAATATTAGAATTGTTGTCGTTTTGAGAGGCAATCATATTTGTGAAATTTGTGTGAGAATTCTATGTCGTAAATATACCATTATTAACAGTGAAATTTCTGATACACTTTATGGACGCAAGTAAATTTTTTTGTCCTTTTTCGTATGTGATTGTTTATGTTCCAAAAAGTATACACACAGTGAATTTTTTGATGTACTCCATGAATGTACGCAAAAGATTCGATTTTGTATTTTCTTCTGAGATTGTTTTGCAACCTGGCAAACCAGATTAGTTAGGTTGCTAGAACAATCAAAATAATAATAATAATAATAAAAACTTCTTTTAATGTATTAATTATTTAGAAAAGAAAATCTGGTTTTGTTTGGTGGCGGTGAAAGGGAAAAAGGGCGAGACTAAATTACTAATTAATTAAATAATTAATTTAGCAACTCTCAACTGCCAAAGAAAGAAAATGGTCCACTAAAAAAGAAATGGTAACGAGTGTGCCACGAATAACAAAGTGTGAACAGAAAGACTGGGTAGATGATGTATGACAATGACTTCAGATTTCTCCTTTTGGCCTTTTGGAAAAGGTGGGCAAAGGAGTCAATAATATCAATCCATATTTTAATATCTCTCTCTCTCTCTCTCTACCTTTCATCTACTTCTTCCATCTAATTGGTATATTTGTAACATTTATACACCACATGTGGCTGCCTTCCATATCTTTACATACATCCACACGTCTATATATATATATATATATATATATTAGTTGTCCTTTACAGTATATTTATCATCGTATATACACTCGTAATGTATATGACATGAAGCTGAGTATTATAAAACTTGGGCATAATTATAGAAAATAAGTAACCATAACTTAAAAAAGCACATCACCAACACATTTAAAAGTTTAAGGTCAGATTGATAATCTTTGGAAACTATTTTGTAATTAGGGGAAAAAATACCGTTTATTTATCTGTGAAGAAACATCATAAAAATATCCATTTGAAATGATTAAAAAAATCTTTTTTTAATCATTCAAGAAGTGGAGTCTATTTATAAAGGAAAACTCATCTCAAAACCATCATTTTTCAAAGAATATATATACATATACATATATATATATATATATATTCAAGATATTTTATAAAACATAAGAACCAAAATAAAAATGAAGATAATGAAAGTAAAGAAATTAGTAAGTACTCCCGTATCAAATAGTCACAATCAATCACAAAATGACATATAAATTGGAGGGCCGATTTAGTATTATGTAAAATTTTGAAAAAATTATAAATAATTGTAATATAATCTTTTATATAAATATTGATCTTAATAAGTGTGTATATACATATATATTGAAAATATATAATCCAAAAAAAAATTGCAACCTAAAAATATATATATGGAAAAATAATATAAGAAAGAAAATCAAATTTTCTTTAGTAATTGTTTCAAATTTTCAGAAATTTAATTTTTGATTTTTTTTTTTTAATACTTTGATTCTATTTACGCAAATACAAATCATTATTAGCTTGATGAAAGATTTAAAAATAAGTAGTTATAGATTTTTTTATTTATGACTAAAAATATTAACATATATAATATCATTATTATTGTTGGCATTCTTGTTATTGTGCTTTCACAATACTTTAGTTTTTAATGCTCCCATGACTTATTGATAGAAATTTATATATAATTCTAAATAATTTTTTTGTAAATATGATCTTTAGGTTTCGTTTGGTTAAAAAAACAAAAAAAAAAAACACAGAAGAGGGGGGGGGGGGGGGGGGGGGAGGGGGGGGATAGAAGCAAACTAATTAACAATAATGCAAAGCTTATGTGGATGTCATTAGTTCAAATTAATCTATGTTAATATTATTATTGGTGATGCTGATACAAAAGAATCTTCTTAGTCGCTTGGATTGGTGTGGAGTGAGAGTGAATCCAAGAATAAAGCAATTCATGGACCCTGACGTATCATCCAATTAAATGCTAGCTCATCATCAATAAACTATTATTTCTGTCTTTACAATTATTTTGACTTTTTATTTTCTTTTTCTTTTTCTTATAAATGACTGCATGTACGATCATTTATCCAATGCAATAATAGTTCTAAAAAAGAGAAAATTAGTGAACTAACTTCTACTCCAATCCAATCAAACATTTTTGTTAACAACTTGTCCCCATTTTAATATTTGAAGAGACTTACCCGACACCCTATATCTTTGATGAAATTTTCCCGCCTTAAATTAGGAGAAAACTTATTTATAATGGAGATACAATG